GTCGTGAACCAAAATGGCGGTGTTTTGACGTACTTTGACGAGCCATAGAAAATCAAAGATTTAACCAAATTGAAATATTTTTGCGGCAAATTACTCCACAAAATAAGCTTTATTATTTTAGCAAAAAAAAAATTTGGGGGTTAGGTGCACTTTAACCTTGAATGTTTGGTCTTTTTAGGAAAATTTCAAACCTAGGCCTTGCCATATTGACCTCACATAAAGCTACGACCTCACTCTCAGTTAATGAGTAGTTAATGAATGAGTATAAGTGTAAGGTACATGATAGATTATGAAGGATTTCCAAAAGGCACCAGTGTGACTGTACTTATTACCAACAGTGTGTTTACCATTCTTTGCGGCAGTTCCACATGAGATCAGAGCACGGGGAAGTGCAGCAGAGTTGGCCTACAAATTTGCCCTCCTAGAAGGAAAGGTGAAAGTCTGCCGTGCTCGACTGCTGATCATTGGCCAGGACAGAGCAGGGAAAACCAGTCTAAAAAAGTCCCTGATTGGCCTACCTTTTAATCCTGAGGAACCCAGCACGGAAGTTCTGGAGATGAATTCATCAAAATTGGAGGTCAACATTGAGCAGGTGGTGGAATGGAAAGCTATCAGTGATGATAATGAAGTTGAACCGGTTCGACCACAGGATTTGAGTATCGCCAGACTGGTTGCTGAGAACATGATGCAGAGGAAGGAAAACAGTGAAGGTCAGATGTCACCAGAGAAGGAGAAGGAGATGGACTATGAAAAAGGTGTTGCTGGACCAGCTCAAGTATGTTATTTTTATTAACTTGTGAGATTTTGTAGTTTCAACTCTCTTAATCTTGGAAGTGCATGAAAGCACTAAGTTTAAGGGAGTTTTGTCACAATATTTAACATCATTTGTTCTAATTCTTTCCAAATTGAAGAAAACCTTAAAATGTTTTAACAAGCTGCCTGAGTTGGAATAACACCAAATGAAGGAAGTTAAAAAAAAAAAAGAAAAGATATAAACTAAAGAAAAAATATAAACTAAATAAATGATATAAATAAATAAGGAAAGCTATGATTGAGGAAGATTAAGAGGGATTAAGAATGGCACCATCTAGACATAACTCTTTTTGCTTAGTATGCAGCATTTACGCGACAGAATTATTCATTGCTAGAAGTTCCATTGATTGAAGCAATAATTATTAGTGATTTTGGTTCACTGTTCTGTTCTCAGGATGTTGATAGCATTATACATGAAAAGATAGGTGTTCAGAAATAAATGATTATAATTGTTAGTCAGGTAGTTTTCTGAAGTAAAGCTGTCTAGAATGACAGGTGAGTGAACAAATAAGCAGTGATGCTGCTTGCCACTTTAGAACCAACCTTACTTGACACTCAAAGTTATCTCTAATTTTTTTTTTTTCTATAGCCAAATGGTACAGTGCCAGCCATTGACAATCCCTCTGCTGTGCCCAGTCTTACACAAGAAGTCAGCACCAACAAAGACTTGGTTGATGGTTTTCAGGAAAACCTTCCCCAGAAGCCAAAGATTACCATGCCAAAAGAACTCGCCCCACTTGTTACAGAGTGCCTTAAAAGCCCAAACACACCAAGCAGCCCTGATAGTGCAGCAGAAACTGTTCTAGATATCTGGGACTTTGCTGGTCAGCACCTCTACTATGCCACACATCCCATATTCTTCTCTCACAGAGCCATCTATCTTCTTGTTCATAACCTGCAGAAAAACCCAAATGATCTTGCAGAACCTTCATTTAAATGTGGAGATGACATAATGCCATTGCAGAACTTCTCTAATGAGACGAATCTGGATATGTTGTTGTCTTGGCTGGTGTCTGTACACAGTATACGTAGACCCCAGACAGATCAAAATTTTGTTGAGACATGCAAGTCGAAACTGCATTGCCTTCCACCTCCTGTCCTTGTGGCAGGGACTCATGCTGATCAAGTGTCAGCCAAACAAATGAATGAAGTTGAATCTCAGATTGCATCAAGCGTAAAAGGAAAAACATACCAGGAACACGTGCTGGGACCATTTTACAGGGTAGACAACACACAGTCGTCAAATTCGCCCGCTGTGAAAGAGATACAAACAAGAGTTCAGCAACTGATGTCATCTGGATTGAACTCAACTGCAGACCTGCCCGTGAAGTGGTTCAACTTTGAAAAAGCTGTGAAGAGGTTGGCAAGTGAAAAGTTTTTCATGACGTTTGAGGAAATTGGCCAAGTTGCAAAGCAAGAGTGCTTCATTGATGATGACAAGCAGCTCGATGCCATGTTGAATTATTACCATGATCTGGGTCTGATTGTACGATTCAGTGACACAGTTGTTCTTAATATTCAGTGGCTCATCAATCTCTTTAAAAAGCTTATCACCACATGCCCTTTTCAAGAACAGGTTGGTATCAAAGTGGTTTCAAGGTTGAATGTTTGTTTAGATACTAGTAAAGACCATTGTCCCAGCTAAATGTGAGTAGATGGGGGTGGGGTAGGGACAATGTGAGGATGAGCTTTTCCTTTTTAGAGAGGAGACAGTCATGGGTGTGGGTGGCCTTCCTTGACCCCTCCTGGCCAGTTGATGCTAAATGTAAGTTTTGATTATTTCAGTTCAAGTTAACAAATTGACATCAGTTTTTCATGCATCTGTTCTGTTGTTGAGCATGAATTTCATAATAACATTGTCAAAGTAGCTGTGGGTCCACGAGGCGATAGCCAAGTGGATCCGCAGACTACTTTGACAATGCTGTGAAGAAATTCATCGTCAACAACAGGACAGACGCATGAAAAACTGCTGTCAATTTGTTTTTAGAATACAAATGTCAAATTGTCTGCTCTTGCTTGTTGACACATCGTATAAATTATAATTTTGCGTGTCTGTCCGCTTATTGACAATGGAAATTAGCCAATGAGCACGTAATAATTTCTGTAGTTGAAGGTTTGATTGTTAACCTGATTGTTCTGTTTCTTTGTAAGGACCCTGTTGATCGGAAGTTATGGCAAGAGCTTGAAAACACTGGCATCCTCCATATGCAGCTGATTAACAAAGTATTTGAAGATTTGCATGGCAGCGGAAAGGAAGCATTGCAGCGAAGTGTTCTAGACATGATGGAGAAGTATGGTTTTCTAGCCAAATTTCACCACCACCACTCTAACAGCACTGAAATCAAGTACTTTTTTCCAGCACAACTGCGCGTGTCGCATCCAGAGCTCTGGAAATTAACACCACAGGAGAGTGACCCCTGTTCCCTCATTTTCAATTTCTGCAATGGATTTGTCCCTCATGGCTTGTTCCCACAGCTAGTTTCTCATCTAATTACACTTTTCCCAAAGCTGGAATGCACTAAACACCCCAAATTGTACTGCAATGGTGCTCACTTTTTGTTAGGAAAGAAAAGCCAATTTGATCTTGTTCTTCTGTGCAGCAAGCATTGCATTAAGCTGGTATTTAAGGGCTATGACACTGACAGTGAGCAAGTGGCTGGGAACTCTCTGGCCGTCCAAGTGAGGACATTAATTGAACAAGAACTGGAACGTTTATGCAAGCAGTGGCACTGGCTTGGGAATGTGCACTATGATGTTTGCATTTCTTGTTCTGCATGTGAGTCTTCTTCTGCCACTCAGTGTAAACGGCACAAATCAGCATCGTGCTTGGATCAAGACTGCATGCACCTGTTACCCATTTCGTCTGTGGTCAATGAACCAGTTACTTTGTTTACTTGTCCAGAGCAAGTTGGGGAGCATTCCAGGTTCACACTAACTAATCTGCACAAGTGGTATTCCAGCAGTACCTCAGAGGTAACTGTTCTTGAATAATTTACCTGTAATCCTCAGGGTGGTCACCAAGATTCATAATCTGACCCTTTTGAAGATGAAAAACAGTTTATTTCGCTATTCAATGGTAGACACAATTTACATTGATAGACAAAACTCACAAAAGTCCTTGGGACACTGAGCTAATGCTACAAATTTTTCTGTTTTACAACTGAAATTTGAAAAAGCATTGCAGCCATCCTTTTAAAAATGTCCCCCTCCTTCCCCACCCAAAACAATGTTGAAACTCAGGAGAAATTGCAGGTACTAGTGTAGAAAATTGTAAGTGGGGTGGGGAAGGGGCTGGGTAAGTGTAGCTGCATTCATGGGCAACTGTTTCTTTGGCATGTGTGAAAGAGTGCTAAAAGTGCAAATTTGTCAATCATTGACTTTTGTCAGTGATGGTAGTTTAGGACCTTGTTGTCCAAGGTCTTTCAAGTGTGGACTGAGATCACCTCAATATGAGGTTTGATTCTCTGCCTAAGTTAGATTGAAAATCAACCATTCATTAGTCAGGCTAAGTTGCAATGTTTTTTTTTTCCCTGTAACCAGGAAAAGCCTCCAGCTCTTGACCAACAACTAGCAAGAATAGCAGATGTTGACATCATAACTTTGGCAGGCGAGATCCCAGTAAAGTGGAAGGTTATTGGTCGACTGTTGGGTCTTGAAGATAGTCATATTTCTCAAATTGAGATAGACAATAAGGATTATGTGTATGAACAATGCTATGCTATGTTGAATGCTTGGAAAATGAACCAACCAGATTCAACTGCAACTTGTGAACAGTTAAAAAAGGCATTGAGTCATGAAGTTGTCATGAAAAAGGACCTAGTCCCAAGGTTTTGCTATGTGAATAATTAACTGGCTGAAAATAGCACTGATTCAATAGCCATACCTAAGATATACCTTTAAATCTGATGAATAAATAAAAGAGAGGGTCAGAGTATGGTTTATCATATTCCAAACACAAAGAGTAGAGTTGAAAATATGGAATGCAGCAGAGTATTTTCACTGATCATTTTGTAAGTAGAAGTCTTAGGATATTTTGAGTTTTTAGAGGAAATTGGATGAAACAATCTCGACTGTCATTAACGCTTCTCGATTGAAACTAAAACAAGAAATAAAGAGATATAAAATTTGTTAAATCTCACATATATTATGTAAATTCAGATCTTAATCAGAGATAATTAAAACTGCTGGGGTGGTGGGGGTAGGGGTGGGGGGAGAAGGTTACCTAATAGGCAGTCTGGGTTTGGAGTTATTGAACTGAGGTCTTTTGAGTAGATGTTTTGTAGTTACTAGGTAAATTATGTGTGGAGGATTTTGGTGACAGCTTTTTAGGCAGTTGACAAAACAAAATAACAAAAGGCTCTCATTCAATTCTGAAGGATAGCAAATAGATTTTGCTAAATGGAAACAGGCAAAGTACATTGCAGTAATGTTTGGTATTCCCTCACGTCCAGATACCCTAATTTTATGTCTAATACACTGTATGTACTCCAGTCCAGAATGTTTGTAAGAGTGTAGATATATTTAAGCACTAGCTAGACAAATGTAATGTTTACTTGTAGAAATAGAAACAGGTAATAAAATGACCAAAATGTCTAATACTTGACTTCATAGAGTGGAAAAGGTGATTCTGTCTTTGGTGGATAAATGAACTTGGGAATAACTGTTTGCTGTCATTTTACTTGTGTATGTTCCTCTGTGTCATGCTCAGCAGAGTAAGAAAAAGGTAGGGCTGCTTGCAGTGGATTTCTGTTGGTTTTTGTCACTGTTTAATTAGTGGCTGCAGTGTATTGGTGCATTGCTTCTTAGTCTTTTGTTAGTGGTCTTGAATAATGGTATACCACAAAAAAAAAGGGAGACCGTATATACATGATGGCATGGGTATATGTAATCAAGTGACATATATTGTCAGAACAAAACAAAGGAGTAAAATACCATCCAAATGAACTTGAAGACAATGTAGCTTATGATCAGGTAGCCATTCTCTGATGGTCTGAGATCAGAGCTCCCCTCATTCCTCCCACAGAAGAAAGAGAGCCAGAGCAACCGTGTGCTGCTCATCTGAGAATCATTGTAAAGCTGGTCAAAAGAAATCCAATTTGTGCACAGAGCCCTGGGATAAGACAAAGTGCACTCAAGTGGCCAGTATAAACTAAACAAGCTTCAAAATCTGAAAATTAAATTAAGAATACTCTGGCTTAAAATGTTGACATATTTGACAGACACCCAATGATAACAGGCCTCCCCATATGTTATTGGGTGACTGAAGATGTTATTTAGGGTTGCCACAGGTCAAGAAATGGTCAGGGAAAAAATGAAGTTCTTTAAGGTCAGGGAATGCTATTCTGAGTCAGGGAAAATAGACATTTTGAAGAGAAGTCTGGGAAAATAATTAAAATAAATTAAGACAGCTGATTTAAGACTGTTGAAGGCTGGAAGAAATATTTGGGGTCACTGTGATCTCATCCATGTTTTACATATTAAATGAAAAAAAAAATTGTTGAAAACTTATCAGTCTTGATGAACAAGTGGAAAGGAATGCTGTATGTTGAGGCCAGAAGCCACTACTAGATCTGATGTTTTGTATTTGTTCGGTCAATGAAATATTAATTTTATTGGGGAAATGTCAGGGAATTTTGAAAGGTGATGTCTGTGGAAACCATGTCATTGTGTGTTGTTACATTTTGCAATGTTCATTTGTTTACCAATACCAAGCAGTATTCTTGGTAAGTGATACTTAAATTTATACTAAATCCCTTCACAACCCAAGCAGTAAAACAGAATTTTAGTGTTGCATCTACAAATTTCAAAGTTAATGTTAGTTCATGTTCTGCTTCAGGTTAAAATGGTCCATGCTACTATAACTTTACCTGGCTTCCACAGAACAAACCAATCAGCAGCATTGCTACATCCCAGGATAGGAAAAATAATTGAAATCCACTTGCACAGTAGACTACAAGTAGCCCCTCTTTCACTTAGTCTGTCAAGTGAGACTGTAAGTGAACCACGAGGAAAAAATTGCTGTGTGAAATCCTGGGGGCGAGACACGTGCAAAAGGAGGAATTCACATGGCCAATTTTTTCTCGTGGTTTTCTTTTGGGTCACGCATTACGGATTAAGCTAAAGAGGGACTAGTCACAGTCTACATGCCCAGTGGGCCAGTAAATTTCAGTTTTCACTTGCCCCCACTTAAATATTGCTTGCCAATGTGGCAGCCAGTATGGAAATCAGAGGACAAATGCAAACTAAGTATGCTTGGATTCCTAACTAATCCATGATTTCAACCTAATGGTTAACTAATCTTGCAATCTTAAGTTTTGAAATAGATTCTGACTGGAAATTATCATTTATCAAGCTGACATTTTTATATTGACTCACAAGACTACCGATGCTAATTTCACTTGCCCACAGGGCCACTGAACTTGCCCAAGAGCAAAATTTACTTGCCCAGGGCAATCAGACCTGGGTTTTTTCCTGCCTTTCTGTGTTTACTCCACTGAGTGTCCNCCCCCCCCTCCAAGTAAGCACCGCCCCTGATTAAGCAGCACTTGTCAGAGCAAAAATATTTTTAAGGCACTTCCCTCAAGTGAGTGCCTTATTCATTCACCTCAATGCGGCACTTTATAAGAGCATCAGAATGAATTGTTCGAGGGGTCTAACTCAAAACAAGTACAAGTACAACTCAATCTACACCAGCCTCAGAAATTTATTCTTTTGGATTACAATTTTTTTCAGTTCGAAGAGGTCATATTTTGTTGTTAACATTTACCACTGTTACGATTCTTTGCAGAGTGCAGACCTCAAATAAGTGCCCCCCAAAAAGCACTACAAAATTCAAGGGGGGTTCAATCGTTACTACTGTCAGTAGTGTTTCATTGTAGCATAAAGGAAGATACTGTTAATAATGAAGTGTTGTTCACAGGATTCATGGACACTTTTGTCCACAAAATTTAAGATGTCCTAATGTCCAGACTTCTACAAGCACACTTCCTAAAATTTAACCCCAAAGCACTGTTAGCACTACAAACAGTAACACTGCTGCATTGTGGAGACGGCAGATATGCCAGCTGTAGGGTAGAGAATAGATCTGCAGTTGAACATTTTGGCCAAGCTAGAATTTACACAAAATTTGACTAAGGCCAGAATTCACAAACAAAATTATCACACCAAACACTTGTTTCAGCTCCAAGTCTCACTTTTTTCTAGACTTAAAATATTTTGCTCCATACTTTTTCCAGGTCTGGTTAACTAGTTTGCCAATTGCCATAAATTTTCAAGAATCTTTGAATCTGTTATGAACACTGTTGTTTAAATGTCCAATGTACTTGACATGATAATGCATAAAACAGCATAACTTGACAATGTACTAACATTACTTTTTATTTATGTCAGTTCCATTACTAGAGACATTATTCTCTGTACAGCGTATTCCACACTAAACAGTCCAACATTATTACATAAAATAACTAGAAACAAACAGGTACAAATTGCAAAAGAGTCCAAATTACACATGCACTCAAGCACATCTTGTCCCATCTGTAAAAATCACGAAAAATGTTACAATTCACTCAGTAATTCACAGCTACAAACATGTCAGTCCACAAATTTACTCCTTGAAGCGGATGCTGATGTACAACTTCTTGAACTCGTCAAAGCCAGCAAGCACGCCGGCGCCAGCCATGCCACGCAGAATGTTAGCACCAGCTCCCTTCATCAATGACATGAAGCCCTCGTTCTTGAGAATCTGGACTGTGCAATCAATTGAACCCCGGTACTTGACAGCTTCTCCTGATGTCATCATCATACGACGACGGATGGTGTCAATGGGATAGGACATCAAACCAGCGGAAACTGTTACACCATACCCAAGGACAAATGACATGATGAGACCAGCATCCTCGCCCAGCAGCAATGGCTTCAGGGTGTCGTAGAGACCAAAGTAGAAGCCACGGTACACCACAATACCCACACAGGAGATGACAAAGCCCCTGTATAGACCAGCAATACCATCTGACTTCAGTGTCTTGCGGTACACGTCAATGATGCCATTGAACTGCCTCTCGCCACCTTTGGAGCCTGCCTTTGCGTCATTGGCTAACCTTGTTCGGCAGTAATCCAAGGAGTACACAAACAAGAGAGACATGGCACCAGCAGCACCACCAGAGGCGATATTCTTGCTAAATTTGATGGTATATGTATCAGTTTTCTTGGGTTTGAAAAGAGCCTTTATCTGATCTTTGAATGCAAAGTTCAGGGCTTGTGTTGGGAAGTAACGGATGCAATTAGCAAGGTTACCTGTGAGACAGAAACAAAACGAACACATTACTTGAAGAGGAATTAAGCAAAGACAACATAATTAGGACACGAACATAGAAACTTTGATACCTAGCATCGTATTGCAGGTTTTTTTGGAAAACTTTTACACTGTTGATGGGCTTTTTCCACGGTTGCAAATGAACCAAGTTTCACATTTGGAACAAACCAATCAAATCTGCACTTTTGATGGAGTTTACCCTCCCCCTCTTCCTAATTTTGGTCACTTTCACACCCTTAACCTTTGAGTGCCTCCCAAGCTTTTCATTCGCTGGCCTCTCACATGCTTGAGAAGGGATTGATTGTTATGGATTTTGCAACCACTCACCTCTCCAAAATGAAAGGAAGCCCTCTGCTTTGTACGTTCTAGCTGTGCAGTCGATAACACCCTTGTATGGGGTATCTAGACGTCCTGCCTTTAACATCTCATCTTGATTTTGAACAAGAAGCTTCACTCGTTCAATTGGGGCAGCAGCAGTTTTGGAAATGATAGCTGCGGCACCACTCAGTCCAAAGTTTTCTACGAAATGGAGCTGTTTTTCACTAGTTGCTACCTTTGCCATCTGCAAGAGATATGTTTGGAGCTGGTAAGATTCCTTGAAGATTGTGGAATTGTTTTATATCTTTTTGAAACTTCAAGTTTAATCTTAACAAAAAGTTAAAAGCACTGCTTGTTACATAGAAAAACTTTTCAGTTTATTATCCAAATATTTCTGATTGTAGCAATATTAGAAAGGATTTACATCTAACTTTTTCCAAGTGACTACACTGAATACCATAACCCACATACTATCCCTAGGCCCAAGTTGTTGCAAGTACAAATTTTGATGTTCCTAAATTCTTTAGGTTTAAAATAATAATTAAGCTGATGACAATTAATTGGCATTCCTTCATCTCCCAGATTGACCAAAGTAACGTTCAATGCAGAACAGACAAACACAGGCCTAAACTTATTTCTTAATTAATCAACTGAAGGAGTAATGCATCTTGTGTAAAACATGTTCAATACGTCTGGACAGAAAGATCAGGTTGAATTCTAAAAGCAAATACTGTATGCAGATAAGACACCACTTCCAAAAAGATGTCGATATAATAATTGATTAGCATCAAACAAAAGAAACGTTCCAAGCTGGGCAATACAGCAATTATCAATACTGGATTCGGCAAACGCGAGTAAAGTTCCAATTCTTGCTGAAATTTACGAAGCCACGTGACCCATCACGTTGAAAAGTATTCGACCGGCGAAGGCAGAAATCAAGTAAAGGCATTTCAACTCCTTTGAGCACAGCAGTGTAAGACGTTCTTCGAAGTGAATATTTCTTTTTAAACTAGACAGACTACCAAGTATTCGAGAAATCTGCGTACGGAAATTATGGCGGGTGACGCTCTCTAATATCAGAATTGAAAACGGCAAGTTTCCCAAGTTAATTCCCCCCATCGCTACAAAACAGCGATTCCAAAGCATTACAGAGACCCAAGGATGAGATTGTCACTTACTTTGAATATCCTAAAGAAGTGATTCAACCAAGAGTGCACAACACTTCACTAAAATTCAGGACCCGACCGGCGAAATCCTTGAAGCTTCGTTGTAAAGGAAGATCAAAGGTGGAAGAACGCATGTAAGCCACGCATGACTCGCCTGATTGGTCGAATTTGTACACGTGACCACATTGGCCTGGATTGGAACTGAAGGAAGGAACGCCTGGTTGATATTGCGTTGAATATGTTCTTATGTTCAGGAGACAACAAATTACACGTTTTAATACAGTGACAGGTACGCAATTTATAGTGAATCTATCTTATTATCTTGAGATGCTAGATTACCGTCGGAGGGAAGACAGGGGTAAATGCTTCTGACTGGATACATGTCAGTTTCGTGCTGAACGGATCGAAAGTATAAAATGATATATGGGTAGCATTACTTTAGAGCATACTCAAATTCTAGTGATACTGTTAGCCTGCTTTTGTCTATATCACCAGTACTATGTTTAAGCAATACCTCAAATAGCATCAAAGATTATCGCTTGTTCCCCAATGTACGCAAATGCAATTTAGATTCTCGTATATATCTTGACAGCCACACCCCCAAAGCCGGTCAAATGCCATAAGAAGAACGCTGAAACGGCGGTTTTAGATAAATCCTCTGATGAATCATGAGAACCTTGTTAAGGTAGTGGAGCAAAATTAATCTCAAAAATAAAACATTAAGAACCCCAAAAGATAAGAGCTCCTTTGTGGCCAGGCAGGCATTTTGAGACTTCATTTTGAATTTATTGTGTGACAGGATGCCAGGTTACCTTATTACATGATATTTTTGCGACACTTTTATTTCGCGATTTTGAGGTGGGCATATTTCATGACACTTAAATTCCGCGATTTTGCTAAAATTTTGTATTCTAAATCACTTTAATTTCACGTTTAACAGCAACACACAATTTATTTCCTTGGCAATGTTACATATAAACATGTCCTTGAATTCAGTAAACTGACTTTATCAAAGGTACAATAACGTCAAAAGTAACAAAAACACAATGGCAGGACTACATGTCAGCAGTAACATAATGTGAATCACTTAATTTTCGCATCATGTTATGTTTGTGACACTTATTGTTTGGGTCACTTTAATTTCACCATTTTTTTTAAAATGCGAAATTTGTGAAATTAATGTGTCATGAAAGTTTCATGTAATTAAGGTATTTTGGTGACTCCTAAAACCCTTGCTACACCTTAGAAGACCCAGGCTCAGGTCCTCGTCATGTGGGAGTCCCCCCTCTGCCCCTCTCCCCT